CTTGAAATTATTAAAGAATAATAAAACACTTGAAAATCTTGAGGTATACCATTCCCATTGCCAATCAACTTTTCCCGACCCAAAAAAAAAACGAGGGAAAAAAGAGCTTTTTAGCAGGAATCCCATTTGTGAAATGAACTGTTTCTTTTAGGATTTACATAAATGAAATTGAAGGGGATTATGATATTACATCTGTATATGAAACAAGATTAACTCCATAAAAAAAAAAGAAATGAGATAACCAGTAATCAAACTAGTATATTTAGGCCTCGTTCAGTTTACTTATTTGAGTTTTTAATTCGAGTTAAGATGTGACTTTATGTAAGAGCTTTTAACTATAGCAGAAAAAGTTAAAAGTGACTTTTTGTGAGAGCTTTTAACTGTAACAAAACTGAAATTAAAAACTTAAATCGGTGAAATGAACGATGCCTTATGTTTTGAAAATTACGTGGCATGTCTGTGCTCAGAAAAGAAAGGAAAATTATGTGGCATTTATATTTCAGCTGTAGATGCTATTTTTTTAACCGTCCACGTGAAGCCTTTTGTACATTTAGGACAAGAAAAACCGTCACATTATCTAGAATATTTCTTTTTTTCTTTTTTAAAGTACATTATCTAGAATATTTCGACGACAATGTTTTGAATTTCCAAATAGAACTTCAACTTAGGGGCACGCCTTCTTTGACTAAAATGCTCCTTATTACGAATTACAAAATTTCCTAACAGGACAAAACTAACTTAGGTGTCTCACCAGTGCATACGTCGAAACAAATAAATAAATACCTACCTATTAAATTTATTCATTAATAAACAAAGAATTCTTCATACAGAGCAACCTTCAGCCTTAGCCTATAAATAGCACATCTATATGCATATTTCTACATCACAAAACACCTCAAAGTTAGAAACAACCCTTCATTGTCTTTTCCTCTCTGATCCCTTTCAAACCTTAGATCATCATGGGTGTTTTCACTTTTGACGACGAGTTCATCTCCACCGTTGCTCCCGCTAGGCTGTTCAAGGCCTCCGTCCTTGATGCCGATAACCTTTTTCCAAAAATTGCTCCCCAAGCTGCTAAAAGTGCCGAGAATGTTGTAGGAAATGGAGGGCCCGGAACCGTTAAGAAGATCACCCTTCCTGATGGTAAATAAACTTTTTTTTAATCTCCGTAATCCTGTGTATTTAAGATTTTGATGACATATTTTCATATCTTCAATTGAAAGAGAGTAAGGAATAGTTTCTATTTTCCTATGTTCATGACTAATAGGTGAGTTTGTACTTAAATAAAATGTTACTTCTTTTTTGGTAACAAAAAAAAAAAAAAAAAATGATCCTTCTTTCCGTTTCAATTCTTTTCTTTTCTTATTACAACCAATTAGATGCCCTCTTGATAGAAATACATAAAAGGCGGTATATGCAAATTCTGAATCACTTAAGATGTTTGATGTGAAATTTCATTTGCAGGCAAGTACTTGAAGCAAAGGCTTGATTCAATTGACCACGACAACTTGACCTACGGCCACAGCTTGATCGAAGGTGATGTTTTGTCCGCCGAAATTGAGAAAATATCTCATGTGACCAAGTTTGTTGCATCCCCAAGTGGAGGAAGCGTCATTAAGGTCACTACCACGTTCCACACCGTCGGAGATGCCCACTTCGATGAAGCGAAGGCTAAGGAAGGAAAGGAAAAGGCTGCCGGTTTGTTCAAGCTCGTCGAAGGCTACCTCCAGGCAAACCCCAGCACTTACAACTGAATCTGTTGAACTATATGCTTGTAAAATTACTTTCTCTATAAGCTAAAGGGTGTGGCTTTCATGTTGTTTTGTATCCTGGACTTACTAGGTTTGCCAATAAGTGTATGGAGTTGTGACAATCCTGTTTGCGTCGTAATGTTTGAGAAAGCTTTGTATCTTTCGCAAATAATATAATGAAAAAATATCTTGCTATGAAAGAGTTCTTGTGATTCCCGATCTTGTTTAATTTTTGTTACATCTTTCTATTTTCTAGCCGGTACGTATTGTATCACATCTTTAATATTATTATTCTTTAAATAATCCGCTGTCTTACATCTTTGGTTCGTAATTTACTGTACTAATTTTTGAAGCTTTTGAAAAGACTGCACTTACAAAAGTAATACCATATCAAGACCAAAACTTGGAAGCAAAAAAATTCGCCAAAGGCGGTCACCATCGAGGAATATGAATAAATGAGTCTATGACCATGTTCAAGATCTTAGCTAAGAACCAAAGAAAAAAAGGCAATATATATATATATATGTATGTATAATTACACACTCTAATATTCATAGAAACTACTTTTAAGAAATAACTTGGTAATTAATCTGAATTGGTCGGCAGATCAGATGACTTAATCCCGTGACTAGATTTTGTCTACTAACTAGTAGGTTAGAACTATTGCAATCAAATGTACTAATAAGTTGAAAGAAACGTTTGTTTAATTGACATCATGTGGGTTGACTACATTACATGGTATAAAAAACAATATCTTGCAATCCAACTTTTCACCGCAAATGGCCAAAAGATCAGCAGGTCTTGTGAGTCTAGATGCTGAAAAAAAGAAAAAACCCAAAATCTTTGAATTCTAGAAGGAAATTTTCTATAACTTATTTAGGATTTGTTGACCATTCTTAGTCTTTAATGACTATTTAGATGAAAGAAAGTGCATTTTCATCAATATAGAATTTTTGATGGAGAAAGTAGTCACTAATTGTTTAATTTCTACCTGTCCCCTTCTGTTTGTGATTTAAGCATCCATGACATAGCAGGTCTTAGCTAGACGTCTTACTTAGTTCTAGAAACATTAGTAATAAAGAAGTAACATTATTTTGTCTGGATCAATTTGGCTGAATTGGAAAATTTCTCAATCTGAAAGTACTTTCCTAATTCATTGGAAAAAAAAGTTATTTCGTAACTACTTTTCAATTGGGAACTCATAACTTATATGCAAAGCCTCAAATGGTGTTACGTCAACATGGCAGTTTATCAAAAACGTGCCTTGTTAGGGTAAGAGGACAAGTGACAAGTGTGAAGTTGTGACTTGTGAGGCATGTCAGATATGACATGAAGAGTGGGAATAAGATTTTTAGAAAAGAAAATTTCAAATATTGATCTCGTTTATTTCACCGATACGAGTTTTGTTACAGTAAAAAGCTCTAAAAAACAGTAATATCTAAATTTTTTGTTACAGTAAAAAGCTCTCACATAAAGTCACATCTCAACTCGAATTAAAAACTCAAATCAACGAACTAACCGGGTAAGTCTTATCTTATCTTCTTATAAAATGAAAAGAGAAAATTAAATACTGTTGAATTCTGACTGGCTGGCTTTTTTAGAAATCAACCTGCAAAACTTGAAATTATCAAAGAAAAAAAGAGAGGGGAAAAAAAAAAACTTAACTGGAGGGGGGGGGGGGGGGGGGGGAATTAAAATAGCTTTTACCAGGAATCCCATTTTGAAATTAATATTTTTTAAGGATCTAATTACATGAATTAAGTAAGAGAAATGATGATATTTCATCTGTATATGGAATAAAATAGCTATTAATCAATCTCTAGTCCTCCAACTCTAGTCCTTGTTATGCACAATTCAACAACCAAAAAAAAAAAAGAGAAAAAAGTTGTAGTATTTTGATTATTTATTATAACTTTCTAGAAACAAAATAAAGAAATCAGAAACCCAAATAGAACAGCCATTTTCAATATATTCTGCGCGGAATACTTTTGTAACTGATTCAGAATTTGTTGACTATGTTAGCCATTTCTAGAAGTCAACCTTGAAAACTCGTTATGCCAAAAAAAAAAAAAAAAGATCTTGACGTAGCCCCATGGCCCCCATCCCATTCCCAACAACATCAAGAGCAACCTCATTCATTTCACTAATTTGAATTTTGCTATAATAAAAAGTTATCAGAAATAGTCATATCTAATTTTTTTGCTACAGTAAAAAGCTCTCACATAAAGTCACATCTCAATTTGAATTAAAAATTCGAATTAGTGAACTAAACGGAAAAGAGCTTTAACAAGGAATCCCACTTCGGAAATTAAATGAATCGTTTCTTTGAGGAATTTCAACGTAACTTTAAACTAATTAAAGAGAACTAATTAAGATATTTCATGATCTGGATATGAAATAAAATAACCAGTAATGATCAAACTGTTATTTATAAAGTTTGGATAGTGATTTATGTTTGATAAGATATCTTCTTTTCTAAGGACGTCAAAAAAAAAAAAAAAAATAACAAAGACAATGATGAAAAATAATGGGTGCATTTGGAACTCGTTCCAAAGTGATTTTATTTTTTTGTATGAAAATGGAAAAGAAAACGTTTCAATCTCAGACAGAACTCATTTTTAAAAATGTGTTTGGTAGTTTTATCAAGAGATTATTTTCAATATAAAAAAAACCCATTAATGTCTCTCTCTCTCTGCTCGAGAGAGGAGAAAATGAAAATAAAAAATGAAAAACGACTAAAAGTCATTTTTTATTTCTTTCCCATTTTACACTAAACTAAAAAATCGTTTTCATTTCCGTTTTTTGTCTTTAATTGTGCCAAACGCCGTTTTAAAATCATTTTCATTTTTTTTTTCTCAAAAAACGTGAAAAACAAAAACTTGAACAATTCCAGACACGACAAATGTTTTTTCTACTACTACCGAACTTTTCTTCCCCTGCGCATTAAGCTATTTCAATTTTAGAACAAATTTGACAAATTGCTGCATCATCTAGAATCCGAGTACCCTTTTTTCATCTAACTTAGGGGACGCCTTCTTTGACTAAAATGCTACTTTTTGTAATTTATAATTTCCTAATAGAACAAAATAATAATAGTTGTGACGCCAATGTAAACATCCAATAAACAATTATTAATCGGTAAACTATTCAATAAACATGGGATTCTTCATACAGAGCAATCAGCAGCGGGCCATATAGCCTATAAATAGCACCTCCACATGCACAACTCTTCAACACAATATACCGCAAAGTTTAAAACAACCTTCCTTATATTCCTTTCCTCTTTGGTCTCTTTCAAAACGTCAAACCATCATGGGTGTTTTCACTTACGACGATGAGGTCACCTCCACCATCGCTCCCGCTAGGTTGTTCAAGGCCTTCGTCCTTGATGCCGACAACCTTATCCCAAAAATTGCTCCTGAAGCTGCTAAAAATACTGAGACCGTCGAAGGAAATGGAGGGCCTGGAACCATCAGGAAGATCACCTTTCCCGATGGTAAGTAAACCTCTTATTTTTGATCTCCATGATGACCATAGTATTAAAGATTTTGATGACATATTTTACGTATTTACAATTGGGAAAGAATAGGAGAACAATTCTATTTGCCTATGTTCATGTGTTTACTTACTAAACTAGGAATGCAATTTCAATGCTTAACATATAGTAATTAATAGGTAAGTTTGTACTTGAATAAAATGACGCTTCTTTACATTTCAAACTCTTTTTCTTTTCATAATCAATTAGATGTGCCCTCTTGATAAAGGTACACTAAAGACCGTAATACGCAGATTTTGAACCAAATCAAATTTTTTTCATGTGAATTTTCATTTGCAGGCAAGTATGTGAAGCAGAGGCTTGATTCAATTGACCACGACAACTTTAGCTACAGCCACAGCTTGATCGGAGGATATGTTTTGTCCCCAGAAGTTGAGAAAATTTCTCATGAGACCAAGTTTGTGGCATCCCCAAGTGGAGGAAGCATCGTTAAGACGACTACCAAGTTCTACGCCGTCGGAGATTTCCAGGTCGATGAAGCGAAGGCTAAGGAAGGAAAAGAAAAGGCCACCGGTCTGTTCAAGCTTGTTGAGGGCTTCCTCCATGCTAACCCTGACGCTTACAACTGAAATTGTAAAACTACATAATTTTCAAATTACTTGTTCCCCCCTAAGAGATAGGGTATGGCTTTCATGTTGTTCTTTGTGTCCTATACTTACTAGGCTTCTGAATAAGAGTGCAGAGTTGTGATATTTCCTTTGTATTGAGATGTTTCAGAAAGCAGTTTTCCTTATTATAAATAATAGTATAATGAAATAACATCTTGTTCTAGCAAATATATCACTTTTGATGAACTGTGTCTTTGTTAATTTTAATTTCATTAAATCAATACTTCCACAAGTTTACCCAAGTCTAAGATTTGTACATTGATTGATAACTAAGATTTGTCTTCAAATTTAACCTGCCCTTATTCTAAAGGCAAATGTCATCATGAACAAGTAAGCAAACGAACAATTAAAATTGTCTAGCACTCCATGGAAACTGTTCATAGAGTTATCATATAATTCAATTGCATTCTAGATATCATACAATTACGATTTAAACATTTATTATATCTTCAGGTATAGAGAGACTAATTTGCGAACTTTGTTTCAGAAGTTTTTGAACTCCACTTAAGTATTGTTATTGGTAATTACCACTTTTGCAAAGTCAAGTGAACGTAGTACAAAATGAGCTGGCCCTTCATGATGATAATATAACTTAGAATATATAATAGTACATTTAGCGAAGAAAAGTTTTCTAATAGCGTTAAAAATCCAAAATCAGATCCTTTAAATTTCCCGGACAGACGGACTCGTTCACCTTAAGATCCCTGAAAAATAATCCTAAAATCAGTTTAAAATCTTAGCTCGAATACTCCTCCAGATGTTGTTTGAATCGAGAAGTGCCCAAAAGTGTGTTTACATTTTCTCCTTGTGATCATAGTCCAAGAATGAAAAATCTCGTATTTCTAATTTCACAGATTTATGAAAATGAATTGAATGTACATCACTATTAATTTCTTAATGCAGAGAATAATCATTTCCTAATACATTATTCCGATTGTTTTCGTTCACCTATTTTAGGCTTCTCCTTTCTTGTTCATGCATTTCTGACTGCAGTCTCGTTTTGAATAAAACGACCATTAACTTCTGGGGTCGCTAGTGCTGCAATTTGTTCTCCATGTGGTTCTTGGTATCGTTAAGTCATTCTAGTGTCGTTTACATAATAGTCATCGTTTTTCAACTTTTTCTATTTGAAGTTAACAAATCGCTTCGCTGATCGTCCTTCTTCCTCCAGTGCCGTTTTACCCATTCCTTGTCGTTTACTTAAATTCGATTGTCGCTTCGCACTTCTCTAGACTTAAATTCGCGTCGTTTTTATACACTTCTCCAGTATTACACTTCTCCAGTGGCAGGTGCTGCTTTGGTGATGCTTTCTGACTTTATTGTCGCGTTTCAACTTTTTCTTTTTTGATGTCGTTTTGTCATTTTTTTTTGTTGGTGTCGTTCAATTTTTTGTCCTTTTTCGTTTTTGCAACTCATGTCGTTGTCATTTTTTATTCTTATTTTTCCATTTTTGCCGTTTGCTATTTTGCTGCCTTTTCTCCCAATACCAAAGAGCCATATTCCTGGAAGCACAGCAGAACTTGCTCCAAAGCAAGGAACAAACCCCAAACAGACCACATTCCTCTAATCCATAAAAAATAATGGTCACATCATAAATATTATCCCTAATTTTCTTTAAAAAACGGAAATATCAGAAAAACGATTCCGTCAGCCATTTCCCATACCGAAATCTTTGAATTCAAGAAGGATTTTTTATTTTATTTTATATAAATGATTTAGGATTTATTCTTAAAAAACAAAAGTGATCGGATTTGTTGACCAATATTCTAGGCTTTAACTATTCATATGAACGAAAGTGCAAAGTATTTTCGTCAGCATAGAATTTTTGAGGGAGAAGTCATTAATTGTTAGTTTCTACATGTCTTTCTGTTTGTTGGGTAAGTAGCAGGTCTTACATGGTAGAAAACATAATAATAACAACATTATTGTTAGGGTTGTTTATGAGATGGGTTGGTACGGAGTAAGATTTTTTCTTCTACTGCCTTAAAAAGTACGGGTTGCACATATTTAGTCCCAACGATGTTAGAAAAATTTCACAACCTAATGATGTTTGGATTGGGTTGGGGCGGTGCGGGGTGGGTTGGGTGATCAGTTTCAACATTTAAAGAATCAAAAACTCAAAGTTCAATCCAACATCAAACATGAAGCAAAGTAATCTATCCAACATCAAACATAAAGAAAACATAAATTAGTCTACACTCATAAGTTAATCTTAACATAAAGCAAATATAGAAGTTTAATTCAAATATGAAGAAACTAAAGAGTAGAAATAAGTTGTCTGCCTAGGGTCAGATATTAGAAGAGACAAGTTAAAGCGTGGGTTAGGTTGGGGTGTGCGGGCATTATAGGCCAAACTCACACCTTGCTCCAAAACTTCGGGTCAGACATTGAATGGGCCGCAAAAAAAAAAAAAATTAATACTAAAAATTGCATTTTTCGAGTTGGGTTAGAGTGAGGTAGGTTGGGCCTGCGGGTTTATAAACAGCCCTAATTATTGTGTCCCGGCCTTTGGTGAAGTGGAAGAGTAATTTCTTATTCTGAAACTAATTTCCTAACGATTAAGAACTTGTATTTCTTATGCAAAGCCTCAAATTATAGTGTTACTTACACCAACAAGAAAATTTAATATTAATATTTTTTACAATAAGAAAATTGTAGGACAAGTAAACAAGTTTGAAGATATGGCGATACGTCAGGTATGCGAAGAACAGTACTCGGAATAAGATTTTGGGGACAAAAAAAAATAAATAAATGTTCTAGATAAAATCAGAGAGAAGACAGAAGTACTTTTTTTTTTTTTTTTTTTGAAAGAAGACAGAAGTACTTACAATAATTATTGTTGATTGCTGGCCTTTTTCGAAGTCAACCTTAACACTTGAAATTATCAAAAAAGAAAAGAACACAGTAAAAATCTTGATGTACACCGTTTCCCATTCTCAACCAACACTTCCCCAACAAAGAAAGAACTCAGAAAAAATATAGATGTCATTAATTTTATCGATTTAAATTTTTAATTTTAGATTTTTACAGTTTAAAATTCTCAGAAAATATCACATTTAATTTTTTCTGTTATAGTTAAAAGTTCTCAGAAAATATCACATCTCAACTCGAATTAAAAGCTCGAATCTGCGAAACGAACGAAGCCATAGCGTGTTCTTTTTACAATTTAAATTTGTATGTGAGAAAAAATATTGTATTTAAAAAGTTGAATTCATATAAATTAAATTAAAAAGAATTATGATGATATTTCATCTTGTTAAATCTAATTTTACGAATGATGTTTTCAGATGATGTTAGAACACTGTCTTAAACACGACTTAATTAATTAAGATCCAATAAGTTAATTACGTTAAGTTGCTTGAGCAGAATAAAGTACAGAAAGTAAAGGAACACACAATATGATATCGCAGTTTGGTACGCATAGCTACATCTGCGGGGTCACGCCCAGACAGTAAACAGTTCACTATGTTTTAGAAATTACAGACACCGGACAGACTTATTCACCCAAGGACTCCTTCTTAGACAATGACGCCGCTGTGACGAATCTCTATAGTGATTGTTTAGCGTGTACCACACGTCTTCTATTCACCTAGCGAACTCCCTTTGACCGGCAAAGCTTTCTCCCGAAAGCAACAAATCCCTCTCCCGAAGGATGATCTCAATAACTCACAAGGCTCACAAAAAATCTCAGACATCTCTTTGAATATTTTCTCAGTAATAAGCTCTCAAATTCACAAACTTTTTCCCTGGAGATGTTCTATTAAATCCGTGTACACCCTGAGCAACCTTGAGGCCTTTTTTTATATAGCTTCTAAAACTCCCCTTATTTCATGTTAATACGCCCCATAACAAATCTCTTAATCCACCAAGATAGCTTATTCAAATTCTTTCCACGATCTTCTCAGAGTAATATGTATGCTATCTTATCTACACAAACAAATTTGCTTCATTATCTCCTTGATTTTCTCAATATGACTTCTACGAGTATTGCATGTAACGCAAGCAGATAATGCCAAAGTAGATTGAAAAACATCCAATTACTTCCAACCGATTATTGCAGCACAACATTTATCTTCATATAAATTTCAAACTTCAAATCTCCATGCACTCATCTTCCATTTAAATTCAAATCCATATCTCCTTATCTTCCATGTTTATAGCCTTCCTAAATCCAGATAATCATCACTTTAAATTCTCCACATAATCCTTTTTATCCTTATCTCTTTTTAGAATCCCATTTAAATTCAAATAACCAATGCCTTATCTTCCTTTGACCAAGACCTTACCCTTATCTCTCCAAATCTCAACCAATGTCTTATCTGCAACGTTAACTTCAAATCTGATTCGGAATCTTATTCTGCAATCTAAAATCTTCTTGAACCTATTTTTTGAATTTTTACAATATTGCCAATAAATTACCAATTAATAAATATACCTAGCAATCTCCCCCGCTGACATTTTTTGGGGAAAACTAACAAGAGATCCTAAAAAAATCAAAAACAAAAAAAATATATAATTACATTGTTCTCCCCCATTTTGTCAAAAATAAGCCAAAGACAAAAAAAAAAAAAAAAAAAAAAAATTCACACCCTATACACGTCTTCAGTAGTTGATGTCGCAGATCATGTTGTAACACTTGTTGGAACATTCAGAACATTCGGCGCAACACTTTACACTTTGTACATGGTCTTTGTAGCTTACTCCCTCTGAATCTTCTCTGTGTTTTACTCCCCCTGAATGTAGGAATTTCTGAATCTTGCACTTATCACCTGTCAAATGCTTGGACCAACCACCATTACTACACCCACAATCATTAGTACATGCTTCTAAAGAAGTATAACCCTTATGACAACTCAAATTAGATTTGTATACCCACACACGTCTAGAAAAATTATTTTGCACATCAATCTTCACGTTAGGTGTCATTTTTGAGTTTGCAGAGTTTGGTGAATTAATGAGCATACCTTTCTTCAAAGCATTTAAATACTTGTAGCAACTCGTGTTGGAAAATTAATGGCATCGAGTGCGCAGCGGAATTTAAAAATTTTAATCAACGTCAAAGCCAAACAAGAACATGTTCATGATGCTATATAACATAAATACTAAAGATCTAAAACATACCTATTTGAGATTTCAGGGAACTGCACGTCTGACAGATCTAAGCG